CCACTCTGTCATAAAGCCCCGACTGGTGGAGGGCTGCAGTGATAGTTGACTTTGTGGAACTTTCTCGCATCTCCCCACTGCATCTCTGGAGCTCAGCCACAGTGATCTTTGGGTTCTTCTTTACCTCTATCACCAAGGTTCTTCTCCCACGATTGCTCAGTTTGGCTGGACGGCCAGGTCTAGGAAGAGTTCTGGTCGTCCCAAACGTCTTCCATTTAAGGATTATGGAGGCCACTGTGCTCAGGAACCTTAAGTGCAGCAGATATTTTTTGTAACCTTGGCCAGATCTGTGTCTTGCCACAATTCTGTCTCTCAGCTCTTCAGGCAGTTCCATTGACCTCATTTGCTCTGACATGCACAGTGAGCTGTAAGGTGTTATATAGACATATAGCTATAGATATATGGCTTTCCTAATCAAGTCCAATCAGTTTAATCAAACACAACTGAAGGTGTAGAACCATCTCAAGGAGGATCAGAAGAAATGGACAGCATGTGAGTTAAATATGAGCGTCACAGCAAAGGGTCTGAATACTTTCCGTACCCACTGTATATATCAGTATGAGTCAAAAACAACCAGATGATCTTTTTATACTTGCATAATGTTCACATTTATTTAGTTTCAAGTTCTAAAACATTCTTCACAGGTAGTAAATGTTACAAGGGAAGAGAAAGGATTTTTTGCGGGGGGAAAAATTTGAAGAAACTTTACATTGTCTGATCACAGGTTATTGTAGTGGGTAACTTAATTCCATTCCTATTTTCAATGAAATTTTTGAGTGAATTCCTCCTATGAGGTGGTACTGACCATGTCTGCAATATATCTAAAAATATATCTTAAGATCATTTTCTAATATTTCAATGTTTTTCTTTTCCAATTGCTATAAATTACCAATTACAATAAAAGTGACATTTAGTTTTCTTCTAGATCACCAGATACTCCAAAGAAACATTAAACCTTTTTAAGAGTGGTGCAGATTTATGTTTAACATTGATTTTCCGGAACTCTCTCTTTGGAATTTTATGTGGAATGGATGCAAGTAGCTCATAATGGCCATAAACCAGACAAAAAAAAAATAAACAAATTTAAATGGTAAACTATTCAAAGGTAAAAAATGTTATATGAAACGCATATAAGACTTAAATATGCATTCAAAATAATATAGTTGGTAGATTTCTGTTGATAAAAAAAAAGTTAATACATTAATTTTCTGGATTCACCAAAAATGTTTACAATGTTTGTTTTAAACTATTGTGTTAGTACTGCACCTGGACGTGTGCAGACATAAATAGTGTGATTGTATTTTTATTTTCAACTTTGTTTCATCTGTACTATCCTTCATGTTCCCTAGAATGAAATCAGTGTATAATTTGTAATTTATCCTAAATGGGAGAAATTTAAAAAAATTATGCAGATAATAATAAAAAAAATCAATCAAATGGTCTCGTGCCACTACATCAAGGTTGTGCAAACACCGATGGTATGTAAAACAGGAGATATCAGTTTGGCTACAGTCACATTCTCTGAATAGTAAACAAATCCCAACCTGTATAGAGAAAGATATGATAATGGGTTCATTCTTATCAGTTTCCTTGAAAGTCTGCTGATGCACAACAATCACAGAGCAGAAATAAAATTAAAAAGATCTTTTAACTAAATTCACACACTGTCATTTATGGGGAGCAAATCAATGGGTTGCAAACAATGAAAAAAATACAAGAATGTAAAAACAACTTCAACTGTCAGTATGTTAAAATAAAAGCCCTTCATACGCGACGTAAGAATGTTTCACGTGAATGCTCGAACAGTCTTAAAACTCTAGGGTCAGAAATGGTTGGATTAAAGGACGTCATTTACTGTTTTGAAAATGTTAAAAGGCAGTTATAATTTTTATCAAAAGAAAAAAAAGAAGAAAATCGATAAAACAGAGTTTTTGGTCAGCCAGATTCTACACAAAGTCAAAGCTATTACTGGCAGCATGCAGTGTGAGTAAGTAAAACTGTTTACATATTGAAAAATCAGGGAACATTACCTGGTTCGGAAAACAAACAGATCACTGCACAAATAAAAAACACAAAATAACAGAACGTTGGTGCAATGAAACCAATAAATAAGACAAAAAACTGATTTAAAAGTACTTGACAAATATAGAGGTAGTTTCAGTTGAAAATTTGTAAATGAATTCCGTTGTCTAAAAAAAGAACCAACTGAAATAAAAAAAACTGAATTTTAAAAGAATTAAAAAGTATTTGAGTATTACATTTATAAAGACCAGTGACAGTGAGGTTGCTGATTTTTAAATTTTTCTCTCTCTTCCACTGTCAGATCTCAGCAGATTGATGTTCATCACATTCAGACAGATGTTCATCACAATCCTAGAGTAAAGTGATTTTGTTGATGGTTACACTGGACATATTTTAGACCACAGTAAGCACAGGTCATTACTTCTCAGATTGGCTAAGAATGTTAAACATTAGTGAAAAAAAGATTGTTTTGCACAGAAGCTTCTGACATTCTTCCCCCATATCCTGAGATATGAGTTTTTCTAATAAAAATCGTACTGTAATGAGAAGCTTTGGGCATCATAACAAGAATTTTGTACCATGATTTGCCATTTATGCCATATTTTTGCTTCACAAAAACTTGGGTCTGTAGATTCAAGTTGTTTGTGTGTGTGTGTGTGTTGTTTTGATTTGATTTGTTCAAGCTATAAATGAGTTCAAAAATTACATCCAGAGATGGGAAATGGACAGATGTATACTGCTGCATTATTCACCCAAGGTAATTTTTAAAAAATAAAATTACATGCTTCTAGTCTCGTTAGGAAAATGTTATGTTAATTAGTGCATCTGTACAAACACATCATTCAAAGATTTGGTTGTTTTAGTCTTTGGGGAGTAATACATGAATACATTTTTTGGGGGGTTGTGTATTTTTGTGGCCTTTCAATCACATATGTTTTGATACCTTTATGCAGAACATCATATTTTCTACATCTGCCCTGAGAACAATGGTTATAACCATTGATAAAGAATTGTTTATTTTCAGTATTTTTAGGCACTATGAAATTTAAAAAACATAATAAACATTTAAAAAAATAAAAAAATCAAACAAAAAATGTGAATGCCCTGAGTAATACTTTTGTTTGCTATCCTTTGCTCTCCTTTGTGGACAAGAGTACAAGAAATTAGAACAACGAAATAAAATCAAAAACATTTAAAAATGAAAATTAAATCAAAAACAATGGCTGATTTCACTCCTAAAAATGAAAAACAACCAAAAACCCATAACATTCAAAAACAACCAAATTACAAAAACTTGTATACAAATGAAAAGATGAAAATAGTCAAAATAAAAACAAACAAGGAACACTGCATTGGACTTACAGCAATAAGGCTTCATTCATACATTCTTTCTTTGTGTCTGTATGTAATTTAAATGGCCTTTCTTCAGCCAAGGGTCCTCCAGGTGTGGGTCGGGGTAACAGCCACACCCAACCTGTTTACCCTTTTAGGCCTCCACCTTCAATCAAAACAAATGTGACAAGAATATGCCTGAATGTGCCTTGGGTCAGACTTGTGTGACACACACACTGAAATAAAGTATTGGGGTTCTCTCACACAGCATAGATAACACAGTTAATGTCACACACACCCATTGGTACCTATATGTATACAAAAATATGACCTGAGTCTAAGCTGCACACAGACGGGTGGATAAAAATAATGTAAAACGCAGTGTGGTTTGGGGGAAAAAAGCCATTTCTTAATTAGCCCCCTCTATAATCAATCCAAGGTCTAGAAACTCCACCCCCATGTCTTACCTGAACACCACATCAATGATCATTACATAAAGGGTTTGGGGGATCAGGGAGACTAACAAAGAAAAAAATACACTCTGTCTAAAGGGGACCTACAATGTCCTGTTGTCTATGTCTAATAATACTACAAGCACATCAGCATAGTCACTATGGAACGCCTGAATGCCACACATACCACTCCCTTAACCCTGTTTTGTTCCAGATCAGTGGAGACCTTATAAGAGAAACACACTGCATCCGGAGTGGCAAGGTCAAAGTTCAGTGCCATTGTACCTCACTATTGTGTGCTAAAAGAGAGTTGTTGCATTTTATTGGCTAAAACTTCAAAGGAACTAAGGCAGTGGTTCTTAACCTGGGTTTGATCGAACCCCAGGGGTTCGGTAAGTCAGTCTCAGGGGTTTGGAGGAGGACAAGACACACACCCGACTCATATGATTTGTGATGACACACCCCCCGCTTGGCCATCACTAAAGGGTTCGGTGAATGCGCATATGAAACTGGTGGGATTCAGTACCTCCAACAAGGTTAAGAACCACTGAACTAAGGATACACTATAAATGGTTTAAATTCAATGTGCATCTTTCACAGTAGGAATAAAAGCCCTAAGTAGTAGTCATGGATATTATCTAAACTTGACCCGAATTGCATAAAATATAGATTAATCATATTGAGTCACAATCCTCTAAGCCTTTTGGTTGACTTAGAGGACGTGTCATATATTCATTCATTTGAATTATATACTGAACTACTGGTGACTGAACCTAAACCAGTCTTGGGGCCATCCTGTAGGTTTATCCTAAACTACGACTGATCTTGGGTCTGTGCAAATGTTTGATTGGCTATAGCAAGTCCTGAATCAGATTAATGTCCTGTGATTCCTTCAACAAATTGGGTTGAAGCTGGACAAATGATCAGAATCTAGTTACACATGCATTGGACAGCCACAGTTGTTCCTTGCGCACATGAATAAAATGTGGTGAGCATCTGTGTCCCAAAGAATGTAATCTCACTTCATGATCAAGACAATGAATTTAAACATTTTGTTTTGAATTGTCAGATTTTGTTGTAAAGTCAGTCGTAAAGGTTCACTTCACACGGAATAGCACTTTAACTAGTCAGCAGCATTGTGCTAACACGGGCTTAATTGCAGCAACTGCAGGAGAGCCCGAGTGACAATGTGAAAAGAGACAAAAGGAAAAGCAAAAAGGGAATGATGAATGTTCTGTGTGCATATACCATGTGTGCATAAGAATATGTGCATGTTCAGGAGTATTTAGAATGGAATCTGCCAAAAAAGGTCATCTGTGTAGCAGAGGGTTCGCCCTCCGGCAGAGATTCAATTCTTATCCCTATCCTTTGTTGATAAGAATTTCTATAAAAAGGTATCAGCTCCCTACCTATCAATGGCCGTTAAAAAGCATTGCATAAGACTTTTTTGAAAAAAAAAAAACAAAACAAAAAGCTATGATTGTAAAAATTACCCATATGTTCCTTTTAAAATGACATAAATCCCACCCATCCCACTTCTGTCACCTTAACTTGTGGAATCTTAAACTCATACGATCACCTTCCATTTGCACAGTGACTCAGAGTCTATGCAGATAAAAAGCTCATTGTTGCTAACTAACATTGCATTTCAATGGGACAAACTGTTTTAGTCATTACTTCAAGTAGCTTGAATCATTCAGTCTTTGATTAAGGGTGTTCACAGAAATTAGGGTCTTAGACTGGGCCACTCTTCATTAAACAGCTAAAAAGTACCTGAAAATACATAGGATCATAACATTTTCCTGAGGTAGTCTCACAACACTCACAACATGTGTGGTCTGTCTGCCCCACCTGAATAAAGTAAACTTCTTTTAAGTTTAGTTCCAATAATGGCAACACTTACACATCAAGCAAATTGGATACACAGTTGTAAACTCCAAAGACCAATGCATCTATGAGCATTTGTTTTGTACATGTGCATGTGCACAGTGTAAATTAGCATACATTCAGCTCTGTCATGTAATAAATATATAAAGAAAAAGTGACAAAAAACAAACTGCTCATCACATTCACTAGAGGGTAGACCAAACCCTCAACTCCAGTTGGGATTTGGGTTGTCTAGTTTCCAGTAGAGGTGGCCACACAGGGCAGGGGGCCAGTCCTGTAGCTGGTCAGGCTGGATTTGCAGGAGTGCAAGACTGCTTTAAACAGGAGAGGGAGCTGCTCCAGGGGTACATTCACAAGCTTCCCTGTGGACAAAAGTAACATGGAAAGAGCTTTATCGGGTTCAGCGCATTTGTTTGAGGTGGCGTGTAGGCTCATTGTCACTGCTAAGCTAACTGTGCACTGCCAAAAATTGTAGGTTGTCAAGGGTAACACAATCAGTGGAAATAAAACATCACATAGACAAAACTCAAGCCTCTTATGTGACGAATAGCTGAAAAAAAACATTTATTAGAGATATGCGATAATATCAGTTGACCGATATTATCTGACTAATATTAGCATAATTATGGAATATCGGTAAAAATCGTTGGATCAAAGATGCCTTACCTGCAATGCAGCGGATCTCCGGCAAACACATCATGATCTCAGGGAAGCGTTTGGGCTGGTGTGGGTACTTATACTCAGTGTAGTCCTGACACACATACCAGTAGCGCTTGTTTAGTTGCTCTAGCTGGGTGGAGTTGGAGCCTCTGATATCTGTATTGACGTGTAGTAGGAGGGAGTCATGTGGAGAACATGGAATAACTTAGATGTGTAATAACGAAGTTTCTGGTGGTAGTTACCTTGGTTAAGGAAGTTGATGGCTTTCATACAGGCATATTCTTCATTACTGATCTTCAGTTGGTGAAACTTGCGAAACAAATATATCAACCTCTCCATGACGTCCATCCCGTCCTCACTGAAACTGAGGAAGAGACCATTAGCCCTTATGTTGCTATGCTTATATCTGTTCACTTGGAGACATTGCCTCTGGGTCAAAGTGCCACAATCCCTACCTCACTCCTTTTTTAATATATATATATATATACATAACACGTTTTATCAAATGTATTTATTCAATTCAGATAAAACCCCATTCATATTTCTAAAACTGTCATGGTCCATGACTTAACAATTGAGAGATAACATTTTATTTTTAGGAACAAGATTTGGCTAATTGAACACATTTTTCGATCAGCGAATCCAGGGTGGCAGAGGACCACGACAATCGAGATATCTCCTCTTTGTCTCCTACCTGGTAGCTCCATCTCTTACGTTCTTCTACCAATGTATCCACTGTCCCTCCTCTGCACATGTCCAAACCATCTCAATCTGGCTTCTTTAGCCTTTTCTCCAAACTTTCCTGTCTGTGTTGTCCCTCTAATGACCTCATTCCTGATCCTGTCCATCCTTGTCACTCCTAAAAAGAATCTTAGCATCTTTAACTCTGCCACCTCCAGCTCTGCCTCCTGTCTTCTGCCTATTGCTAGTGTCTCTAAATCATACATTATGGCTGGTCTCACCACCGTCCTTTAAACCTTTCCCTTCACCTTAGCTGACACTCTTCTATCACAGATCACTCCTGACACTTTTCTCCAGCTGTTCCATCCTGCCTGCACTCTATTCTTCACCTTTCTTCCACAGTCTCCTCTGACAACTCCTCAAAGTATTCCTTCCATCTTCTCCCTTCACCACCTCTGCCCTTTGTAACCTTCCCCTCTCTGTCCTTAATCAACCTCACCTGCTGCACATCCTTCCCAGCTTGATTTCTCTGTCTCGCCAATCTATACAACTCCTTTTCTCCTTCCTTTGTTTCCAAACTCTCATACAACTCCTCATATGCCTTTTGTTTGGCCTTGGCCACTTCCCTCTTCACCTCCCTTGTCCTCTCTTTGTACTCCAGTCTGTTCTCTTCTGTTCTGTCACTGTCCCATCTCTTCTTCGCTAATCTCTTTCTCTGCACACTCTCCTGGACCTCATCATTCCACCACCAGGTCTCTTTGTCCTCCTTTCTCTGCCCAGAGGACAAGTTTTACGCCGGATGCCCTTCCTGACGCAACCCTCACCATTTATCCGGGCTTGGACCGGCACTATAAAACACTGCTTCATGTACCCTAGTGGCTGGTTTAGGCAAACTGTTCAAACTGTTTAAAACATATTGTAAATGTAAAGAAAGTGCAATGAGGTGAGTTACATCTGGTCTGATTTACAAGGAAATCAAAAATTTACAAAAATTCAGGAGACGTGGTATCCTGGATACCACATGCCATGCAGTGCTTATAACTCTGTTCAGCCTTAACCAACAAAAAAAATCCTCCTGTCTCTTAAAGTATGCAATAGCTCTTAGAGCGCATAACTTTATAAAATATGGACTATAGAATTCCAAAAATGTATATTATTTAACGTTTAAAAAATACTTGTCTGTCTAGAGCTATCAAACATGCACATCTTCCCCATTGCGCACAAATCAAAGCTGTAGGTAAACACTATATATACAGTATATCCACTTCAAGTGAATGTTATCGCAGATGCTAAAGATACTGTATCTGTACACTACATGATCGCTGCATCTGTGTTTCGATTAAACAGAGTGAACAGATTTAGACCCAAACCCCAACATGTATTCTATTGATGCATAGTTTGGAACAGCATAAATTATTCTGGAATAATATAGATTATGTTAAATATCCTGCATTAAAATGAACACACCTACCATGCCCATTGCAATAATAATACTGTACTTCATTCCTACATACATTATCCAATGTTTATGCTTTTTCCAGTTCCTGGGGGAAGAGGTCATCAATAACTGCTATAATAGCCCTTACGCCTGTTGCCACTTACCCATGCAACTCATCATCAGATGGTGTGTACTTGGCAGTGATGTCAGCCAGGTCGCCAAAGATTTGGGCACTGTAGATAGTTAGGCAGGACAGTAAAATGAGCTCTTGCCAGGTGGAGCTGAGGAGGCAGGTGTAGTCTTCTATGGAGAGCTCGCAAAAGAATGGGAGCTTTTTGATCCAAGAGATCTGGCGGAAGAGCAGCTCATCTGCCAGGCGACACAGCAGGGCAAATAGCTCCACCTGCGTCACCTTGTAACTGAAGTGCAAAACAACAACAAAAAAAGAAATTGCATGTTGGATTTTCATTTTTTACAAGACTTAGAGGTTTTTATTTTAGCTTACTTAGAAGTAATTATCTGTCTACATGAAGAAGCCAATTTTGGAATTTAGAAAAAAACATTACAAAAATAGATGCAATGGAAACGTTTAGTTATGGCCTAATGTATGTTTCACAGACTCCCTGCAGTACCATGTTTGCTTATATGGGGCCACAAATCTCTTTTACAAGTTTTTTTTACACTGACGGATACGGTTTTGTTAAATAGCTGCATCTGTTTGTTAGCCTGCTAGCAGCTATAATAATAAAATAATTGGACTACACATTACACAGATGGGACTTAAATCACAACTGAGGAACCATACTGGACAAAAAAAAAAACAACAACATTTTGAATGATGGCTTTATATTTTCTTACTCTTCCTCGATGAGCAGGGGAGTAGCCAGTGGGGCCTGGTCTTCAGCAGCCACCAGTTGCATCACCAGAGGGTGGGACTGGGGGTAGAGGCCACGGGGTTGCGGGGCAAGTAGGGAAGACTGGGCAGCATAGTTGAATAGGTGAGGTAACAACTGGTAGGATGTTGACATAGAGGTATTGATGTATTGGTCCCTTAGAGCAGCTGTGTAGCCACTTATTTCCACAGAGCGGCTGGGTACACATACAGAGGTCAAAGGTTAAACATTGCAGTAGGACATTTCCCGAAATTAAACTTCTCCATGTGCTATTTTGCCATGCAATGTATGGTTCAGCTCTGGTATTAATCCGTTTGTGAACAGATTAACCATCTTAACCATTTTGTTTAACTTTGCTGCTGCTGATATTCTGTGTGATAAGGAGCTGCTCTGGCCGAGCTTGACACTGGATTGTTAATTTGAGTCGCATTGGTTTTAGTGTAATAACACCACACAGCGGCCACAGCCAGTGCTATAAACAATGACTATACCTTGTTTTGAAAGAGATTACAATTTCAGTTTAATTTTCATTCAAATGTAGTCATTTGTACAAAAAAAAATCTCACTGGAACGAATAAAATGAAATCCAACTTCTCAAGTGGAAGACGTAAGTAGAATAAGTTGAATAACGGATGGAATGAATCATCTGTGTGATAAGCACTTGGCCTTTACCTAAACCCTTCCTTTAATCTTTAGCTTGATTAGAGTACTATTCTTATACGTAGTAGCATTGAAATATGTAGCTATTAATCTTTGAATAGCTGCCCAGCTCTCTGTATGGCAGCTGAGATTACCCAGTCAGAATAGGACTAAAATAAATACAAAATACAAGACAACATTCGTCCTTTATGGGAGCAAATAAGCAATGTTCTATATACCAGAAATAGCAAGATACATTATTTCAATTATAACAGGCTTATGCTGGTGCTTTGGAATAATGGATAAGATGAACAACTTACTTGGATGACAGAGTAGAGGCAGGTGATGGTTGGTTGCCCTCTAAGGCTCCATTGCTAGGGGAGCTATGGTCACTGTCGCCGTTGTTGCCCCAGGGGTGGTCTGGAGCTTCTTCCTTAAACTCTTGCCCTGACATGATCCGTTCAATCTCCTCTTCTGTGATCTAAAAATGACAAAGAGGAAAAGCTACATGAATAATGTGTGGCACATCTTTAGAGCCATGATTGAAATATACCCCAATACTAAGTGTAATGTTAGAAACAGGCATTCTCTCCAAGACACAGATTCCCTTTTTCCCAAAGATTACCAAAGACAAAAAAATTGGTTCAATCCGTCCCGCTTGATGAATTTTAAAAGTTGCTCAAACACTTCACATAACTTCACCTCAGACAAGTCTGCGTGACTGAGTTATACACATATATACAGTCATGTGAAAGAATTAGGACACACCACATATTTTCCAACTTAAAATGGTTAGAAATCACACACAGGTGTATCACATCAGATGCACATGATCAGAACATTGTTACCCAAGGAGCCTTGTCCTATTTAAACCTCAGACATTTAGTTTGGTGTGCCCTTGACGGTTGAAGTGAGAGTGAGCACAATGGTAAGATCCAAAGAGATGTCTGAGGCCCTCAGAAAGAAGAGTGTGGCTGCTTATGAGTCTGGTAAGTGGTTTAAAAAGGTCTCAAAAGAATTTAACATCAGCCATTCCACCATCCAGAAAATTGTTTACAAGTGGAGGACATTCAAAACAATTGCCACCATGCCCAGGTCCGGCCATCCAAGCAAGTTCACCCCCAGAGCACACCACAAGATGCTAAAAGAAGAAGTCACCAAACATCCTAAAATGTCATCACAGGACCTACAGCAGGCTCTTGCTACTGTTGATGTGAAAGTGCATGACTCTACTATCAGAAAGAGACTACGCAAGTTTGACTTTCATGGGAGGTGTGCAAGGAGGAAGCCTTTGCTCTCTATGAAAAAACATTAAGGCCAGACTGAAATTTGCCAGAGAGAACACAGACAAAGGCCATGACTTATGGAATAATGTTCTTTGGACAGATGAGTCTAAAATTTAATTATTTGGACACCAGAACAGAAGACGTTTGGCGTAAACCAAATACAGCATTCCAAGAAAGGAACCTCATACCAACTGTGAAGCATGGAGGTGGAAGTGTCATGGTTTGGGGATGCTTTGCTGCAGCAGGACCTGGCCAGCTCACCATCATAGAATCCACCATGAATTCTACCGTGTATCAGAGGGTGCTTGAGGAACATCTGTAAAAAAAATTCAAGCTGAAGCGGAACTGGACCCTGCAACATGACAATGATCCAAAGCATACCAGCAAATCCACCAAGGACTGGCTCAAAAATAAGAAGTGGAGAGTCCTGGAATGGCAAGCCAAATCCTAGATCTCAATCCTATTGAGATGCTGTGGCGGTACATACAAGAAACCCCTCAAATATCTCTCAGTTGAAAGAATTCTGCATTGAGGAGTGGGGCAAACTTTCCTCAGATCGATGTCAGAGACTGGTAGACGGCTACAAGAAGCTAATGGGGGCAACACTAGCTATTAGGGTGTAGGGTGTCCTAACTTTTTCCTCCATTAAAATACGCATTTTTCTTTTCTTCTCTATCTTTTGTTCTATGAGTAAAACAATAGTCTTTTTTCTTTTGTAAAATTGCTATTAAATCACTTTCTTTTCCAGAAATAAATAAAAATAAGATTGGACATTGATATGTGAATGTTTCTTAATAAAGAGCTAAATATTTAATCTAATTTTATTACATGACTGTACATATACACATACATAAAACAATGCTTTTTCAGTAAATGAATGTGTTTTCATTCATAACTGTTTGTGCTGCTTGCAAACAGATTTAGAGATGAAGTGATATACTGTCCAAAAGGAAATATGTCTGACAGGGTGCTTTCAGGGAAAGAAAAGCTGAGCCATGTTTGCATTGATTTATTTATCTATCACCATCTATTATCATGTCATTAGTATATAAAAAATATATATTTATCTTTAGCAGTAATGCCCTGAGCTTCCACCCCCACCCCATCTCCCCCACTTCATTTTCCCCTGATATTTGGGTTTTTAGGAAAATAGTTTTGATCCAATGCTAAAACTGTAAAGTCCATTGAGGCAAAAGTGTTGAATTTAGGCTACAAATTAAACTGATGTTACTTAGCTTAGCTACTTAGCTTCAGCAGTACTGTTGAAGTAGATTATTTAAGCTAAGGAAGGAAAGTGTCTCCTTTTGTTGTGTGTCCTTGTCATTGTGACACACAACAAAATGTGACCTCTGCATTTAACCCATCACCAAAGTGTACAGTGGGCAGCCTTGAGCGCCCAGGGAGCAGTGTATGGGGACGGTGCCATGCTCAATGCACCTCGGTGGTAACTTGGCAGCTGGTGGACTCAAACCTGAAACCTTCCGGACCCAAGTCCGTTTCCTTAACCACTAAGGCACCACTGCCCCCTAAGTCTCGAATCAAAAAAAAAAGAACATTTGTGCAACAAGGAGAGTGAAGTGGGTGACTAGTGGGTATTAAGTATATTACTTACCTGTACAGGTCCAATGCTTTTGTTCCTCCCTCCTGGCATGCCATCCTCTCTAATGGCTACAGAATTAAAAGTATAGAAGTATAGAATTCAGTACACATGCAAAATGTGATTATTGTCAACATAAAACCTAAGATAATAATAATAATAATAATAATAATAATAATAATAATAATAATAATAATAATAATAATAATAATAATAATATTAATAATAATAATAATCCATCCATCCATTTTCATCCGGTTATCTATTACCGGGTTGCAAGGGCAGCA